GCTTCTCCCCAAGTAGCTCCCCATGAGTTTCTGATCTTCCAAACACCATCAGCTGAGACACCAACAAGGACGGCTGCGTGATTTAAGTCTTTAGTACATTCTGAAAGGACACCACTTCCTAAAAAAAATATATTTAAATAATTACCATAGAACTACCAAGAATTGGCATCAACTGCAACAGCGACTGTTCTTTTTTAGATTGCATCAGCTAATTAACTGCATGTTTCATAAAGATAGTATCCTGCAAGATGTTAGAATGGTCTATTAGCTGAGGACTGGCATTCTTCATCCTTACCAGTGTATGGATAATCTTTAGCTTCAGTCAAACCATAGTCAAGAACATAGTGATAAGCTTAATCCACCTAACCGCCTTTGCATCCTTAATTGCCATATGGTCTTGTGCAGTCAACTAAATCTTATTCAGACAAGACATATCTCTTGTTGAGTTCAATATCAGAGTTGATTTCAAGTGTAGCAACTGCAGAGAATGCCCATGATGGACCACATGATCCTTAGTTCTTGACAGCAGGGTATTTAATCTTTTTATCATTGGTCCAATCGACTTCTGCACCCTTGTACTAGAAGTTATCATTGGCAGCATTGATTTTGGCTGTCTTTCGAACTCTAAGACTTAAATAGGTCTAAGCAAATTCTTATTAGCTCATATCAGCAAATTGATTCAATTCCAAAGTGTATGTAGTTTCTTTTCGACTTTCATAGAAAGCTCTGATTTAGTTAAGGTTGCCAGTGAAAACCTTGTATCTGTACATCTCATCTCTTTGGTTTGTATATCTCTTGTTATATTTCATCTTCCAATTTGTATAAAGATTGCCTGTATCTATTTCATCTAATATAGTTCAGACATTATATTGATTGAAATCTCTAATAATATACTTCTTATGTGTTGTTCAAGTAGAGGCTGGCTCCCAATAACATCATTAAACCGACTGTTAAAAAGATTTTCTCCATATTTAATATATATTAATCTAATTAGATATTTAATGACCTAAATTTTATAATATGACGTAAATGTGAATCAAATAAATATAAAAATTAATGAAGGTTTTATAATTTATTTTCAATTACATTATGTGTATTTATTTTTTGTGTTAATTCACTTATTTATTAATCTATCATAGTCCTTTTAAATTACAAATCTATAATTGTAATCGAAAATAAATAATATTATCATCTTTATTTTAATGAATATTAAAGTTATTTGAGATCATCCTCTTAAATACCTGGTTTTTTTTGGTTTTATGTACCAATCAATGTTCAATGTAATGTAGAAGAAAAAGATACCTCAAGTCTTCAATAGGGTTGGTGTTGAGGCAAGTATGTATAAACTTGCAATTTTAGCAATTTTTAATTGTTATTGCACATATTGAAAAATAGTAAAAATAAGAGTATGAGCAAAAAATTGGAAAACAAATGCAAAAAAGTTGTTATAATTGGGGGTTTAGAGGATTTTTTGTTAAAATTGTTAAAAAAAATGTAAAAAATCAAATGTGTGATGTTGAAAGTAGTCCTTTGAATTTTTATTCCTCCTGATCTCCTGATGGAAATACATTAGCTTTTGGTAGTAGAGATAACCCTATCCGTCTATGGAATATCAAAAACAAGTATTGTTCAGATTATAGATTGAAAGAAATTTCGGTTAAAAATACAAGATATCCTTTTTTTAACACCACTTTGCAGTAAAAGAATATTATTTAAAATTTAGATACATCTAATATTATGGTTTACCCAGACTTTAATATTTCAAGGTTTAAGAGAGTTTTTTATAAAAAACTGTTTCCTTTTAGGAGAATTATTGGAGTACTTCTTGTGTCCAATATTTGTTGATAGAGTTCTATTTTATAGTTTTTTCTTTTTTAACAATCTTGAAGCATTACTAAAATGGAAATTAATTTAGCACATTTTAAAATATTATGAAATAGAACTTTTAGTTGCATGAATGCAATAATATCTTAAATCTTTGTATACTGTTTTTTTGGTATTATTCTTATCATAA